CTAATACTATAAAGTATGAAATTGAATAATCATCTTTGAACTCACTTTATTTTACGAGAAAGTTGGTGTATCCCTGTCGCTGCCATAGCAACATTTACACTAAACAGGTTCCAATTTTTCTGTAAAACAAATATCAAAATCAACCAACAAAAAAAAAAACAGATAATCCAATCACTACAAACTGAAAAAAGCAAGATAATGTCACTTTTTGCCTAACAAAAAAAAAGGAATAATTAATGGCACTAAAGAGAAGTGAGCAAAACTTACCGGAATTATTACAGTGCTACAACGACACCATATCATTCCAGTGCATGTCACAGCTGATTACAATTTTGATAGAATTAGCAAAACTGTAGTAAGAAGATTTTGAGATATTGTAACACCAAGAAATAGAAAAATATTTACATATATATACATAGCAAAAAACCACAAATGAGACTACTAAAATAAGTACCAATTTGTTGAAGATATGAAATATTCTCTGGAGGTTTCTGGAAATCTGCAATGTTAGCAATGCTTATACCCCATTTGAATGTTGGAGCCCAGAAATGAACTGATAAGACCAAAAAAACAAAAAATTATGAAACTTGGATCTAGCTGAATAATCCACTTTTGCTTGGTTACAATTAGAATCATCAATTGGAGGAAATACAGAAATATTACTATTAATCATGTTGTTAGAAAGGAGTAACAACATAATATATAATCAAACTCATGAATTATCAGACATTGGAACCAATTATTATCATACCATCAAAATTCCTACATAAATCGTTAGAATACGAACATTTCGAAAATATGTTTAAGGAATTCACTCGAGAATTGGAGAATGTAGGTTTGATTCGAAGCGAAACGTACGAGATTCCATAAATGTAAATGGTTCGAGGAATGTAAATCTGATAATCAACTCTCACGTAGAGAACCAAAGACAAGAAAATTGAAATTCTTGGAACAATAATGTGAAGAGAATCTAAGAGTTGACTGCTCACTTGTCTTAGGACCAGCCGGGTGATTCCAGAGAGCTTGGAGCTTCGAATTAGCCATCGATTTTTTTGTCGGAGACTCTACTTTCTGTCTGCTTTAGTCTCCGACATCAGTATTAACGAAAATATAATATTGGAAACGACGTCGTATTGCGTTTTGGCAATGCACTAAGTCTAGGCCACTAAAATCCTCCTGATTTATTTAGGATAACATGTTACTGGCAGTCTGAAACGTAGACAGACTCTTCAATTTTAAATAGGGGTGGGCA